CACCAAGTGATTTCAAGGCTCGCATAGAAACCACAGGTGGAGATGGAAAGCGACCCCTACGTGTTTCTGAGTTGGGCGCAGTGTACGATTGGAAATCGTTTTTCGATCCCCTTCGCGTCGCCCCGCACAACCACGTGCAGACACACGCCATGACGCTGCAGAACTCGGAGGCGTGCCACGTGTTCAGATTTTTCCGCCGCGACCGCATGCGCAGTCTCCCCGGCGAGCTGAGCTCGGTCACAACAGAGCCAAAGTCTGTCTTCCCGGAGCCGCCTGCCGAGGACGACATCATCTTTGTCACTAAGCATTACGTCGGTTCCCAGACATATGCTCAAGTACCAGAAGTATTTTGCCCTGGATCCCGCATGCGAGCTCTTGACCCAGGAGGCCCAGGTGCTGCATCGGGGCGCGTGCAGTTTTCGGATCGCCAGGTCAAAGAGTTCAGGAAAACGGCTACGACGTTGGCTCAGGCACCGTGGAACATGCATCGCGCGAATGAGTGGCTCACCAACCTGGTAGAGAATAACATTGCGGGCTACGCTGAGGGTTGGGTGCCGCCCGTGATTGAGCATCTCGTGACGACGGCCACCAAGGAGCCCTTCTTCCCCCGCCATCCAGCGAGGGAGGCCCCTGCAGCGGCAGTACCTGTTCGGATGGAAGACGATGGCTCAAAGAGAAAAAGGATCCGCATTGCAGGTAAGAGCACCCCGGCCAGCGCATCCTCCTCCCAGCGGGATCGCAACGTTGCGTCTCCATCGATGGCGCAAGGACTCTCCGGCGCCCCGCTGGAGCAGGTCAGCGAGGCTGGGGCCCCACCGAACGTGATGGCCCCACCAGCGGCGCCGCAAGGGCTTCTCCCACCAAACGTGCTTCGCAGACCATCGGCGGCAGAACAAGCGCCTCGACTGATTTCAGAGAGAAGGAAACGAAATCTCCTCGCCATACCTGATGAACCGAGCATCGGTTGTTCTAAGTGCCGCCAAGCTGTTGGGGGCTGCAAAGAATGCCGCACTCGTAGGGATGGTTGGCGTTTCGTGCATGGCATGTGATGCAGACATGTATGCGTCTGGCCTGGCAAGTGGGCTATGGATTGATGGCTCGCTCAACGGTTCTTCGCCACTCAATAAGGTGGGCATCAACTCGCTAACAAAAAGCAATCTCCAGCATCATCTTCAGTCATCTACCATTTTGCCACCCTCATTACCCCAGGCATCTGAGCATTACCATCTTCATACAATCCCCTACATCCTGGCATGGCAATGCGCACCCTTATTCTCACAAAATGTTGCGCGCGGCAAAGCGCCTACAAAATCAGGACGAGACCCAACAATAACAATATGATTTGGGTACGTGGCTGAAGTGGGAGCGCAGGTGAGCCGCGTAGGTCGCGCCAAGGAGTGCCGACATGGATACCACCCACCTTTTGTATGAAGTGCGACCCCGGCCCGAGACCCTGGAAGGTATTGAGCGTGCCCTAGACAACGGCCTTCGGGGGCAGGAGGGGCCCACAATTTGCGGAGCGTTCCAAAGGAACGGCTTCAATGGGGGGAGAGAGTTAGCTATCTAGGGGGGCCGTCGCCAAATACATGATAACAAAAATTCATACAACTATCTGGAGACCTTCCTGGGGGGGGGCAAGACAGCCAGAGAAAGGAGCATGTTGAGAGCGGCCATCATGTCCCAAATAACTTCCGACTCCAGAGCTTCCAACATCTTGATCCCTACCCCCAGCCCCTTACCTCCATCCCCGTACCTCCATCCCCTTACTTCCACCCCCATACCTCATTGCGTTTTAAGGTGAGTGTGTAAGACATCGAACAAGTGGGTCTGCACAGCGGTTCCGTCACTGTTTCCACAGCGTTGTCGTCAAGGATGCGGCGTCAGGCCAGCCCCGAACCAAGTGCGCCACATTTGATTTCTGACTCTGAAGAATGTAGCGATGTGCAGCATGTGCTCAGTGACGCGCTACCTCCCAGGAGGGTTACTTGGGCAGAGGCCGTGTGTGATGAGTTGCAGCAGGCAGGGAAGCTGGAAAATCTGCATTGGACAATCACGTACGGAGATGACTGCAGCGGGGCCAGGGCCCCGATGGAAGCATTGCAGCAACTGCGGTCCACAATTCGCGCCCGGGGTGGTGGTACATTGGAGATAATTGACAAATTCGCCAGTGAGTGCCCAGGGAAAGAGGGGGACGGACCTCGCCAATTCATAGAGTCCCGCTACAGGCCAGAGATTATCTTCGAGACTGCGCACCGGGGAAGCGCCACGTGGGCAGAGAATTGGCGCCCCAAACAAATTGTGCGAATTCCTGGCGCGTTAGATGTGTACGTGGCCGGGTGGGTCTGCAGGGACGTGTCCACAATGAATCACCACCGCAATAAACCATTGCTTCCTGGCACGGACCCACGCGTAAGAGATGGCCGCGCTGGTGAAAGCAGTCAGACTTTGGAGTCTAGCATTGAATATATCAGGCTGCATCGGCCACTTATCGTGGTGCTAGAAAACGTTGTGCGCGACGCAGTATTGAAGTCGTCCAGATGGCATTCAAGAGGATTGGCGGCTACGCAGTCATCGTGTGATTAGTGGACAGCCGAACAATGGGCGTGTTCATGTCAAGGAGGAGGTTGCATGCAGTCGCTGTGAACACAAGGAGGCTGCAACTTGTTGCGCCTATCGATCAATGGCCTCAGGAGATCATCAGAATTGCGCAGCGGATCACACCCATCCCTTTGGACGCATCGCTGATGCCATCCACCGCAAACGTTGTGCCATTGACTTGCCGCGAGACGACGAATCCTCAATGGGCTGGCGTACACGCAGCCATCCGCAGTGCCTTGTCGCTTCCAGCCAGGGTTGAGTTGCTCAAGAAAACTGTGAGTCATTATCCGACCGCATCATCACTGACACGTCTCCATGCAAGATGTACTTGGTATGCATTGGGAGGTCGCAGTGCGCAATGGTATTTCTCCGAATGACCACCATTTCGTGTGGGGCCTGACCAACTCGGTGAAGTTCTTCCCCTGCGCCAAAGACCGCCGGTCAGCAGGGATTGTACCATGTGTTTTGCGCGGGCGCGTGCTCTGGGATACAAAGATGGGGCGGCCGCTGACAGGCGCAGAGCTGATGCGGGTGCACGGCTTCTGGATGGAGACGGGCGCGCAGCTGCCGGAGGCCGCGTTGAAGAGCCTTGCTGGCGACGCCATATCGGTGGCCCCAGTTGGCTGCATTTTGGCAGTCGCCTTAGCCAATACTGTGCCTGGCCGAAGCGGCCAGACGCGCGACGCGGGATCAGTGTGGATAGGGCCCTCGGCGCGACGAGGTTTGGACACCAGCCTGGATAATCTCATGAAGATGGCCACTGCGGCGACGAATGGCACGCAGGACGGCGAGAAGCGCACGAAACGGAAGCGCCACGTGAGATCAAGCCAGAGCACAAAGGCCAGTTGCTAGGCACAGCAAAAAGGCGCGCCCATTTTTCTCATCAGCCCAGCGGTTTCATATCTATCAGGTGGGCATGGCTCGCTGATCGATCCATCGGGTGGGCATAGCTCGCCGTAGTATCGTAGAAGCAAAACCCCAGTCTAGAATATCGCCTTCACGCTGTCTGCGTAGTTGCATGGGTTCAAGCAAGCGCTTACATATTTCAAGATATTTCCGCGCGAGTGTTCTTACATGGCGAGTCCTGGGGCACCCGTGGAAGCGCTTGTGGAAGCGATCCAGACGCGCCTGCTGGAATCACAGTTGGTCCTTCCTTTACAAGAAGAGCGAGATAGAACCCGATCTCCTGCGCGTCGCCCACGACCACCACCTGTCCAAGAAGCAAGGGCTGCCATCATGAACCAAGTACGTTCTTATCTTGGCTTGATTCAGGGGGCCATGCTAGCCGTGACCATGAGCTACGGGAACCAAATCTTGCAGGACGTTGTCAATGACCATTGACGAAATTCGCAGCGAGATGGACGGCAACTCACATAATGACCGCCCCAATCAGAGCCCCCCCAACCCTGCCGCGCCCCCAGAGGCGCGCGACCTCTACAATAAAATGTTCAGGTTGGAGAAGAAGATGTCCGATCTCTGGCAGTCCATCGAGAACGTCGACCGCACGTTCAATGAGGTGAACGTGCTAGTCGGCCAGATGCTGCAGATGCAGGAGGATGCCCACTCGAGGATCCCGCGCCAGCGGGTTTGAAGCTATCTGCGGCCGCCCAGGCCCATCCATGATCCATATTGCTTCTGTAAGCAGCGCAGCTTGCGTCGGTGGCCCCAAAACCCGATGGCACAGGTGCTTTCATATCGCCTCGTCGGTTCAGCCTTGGTCATCTCACAGGTGGGCATAGCTCGCCGTATTAGCGCGCAAGCAGATCATTTTGCTCCTCTTTCTCCTCCTTCTCCTCCTGCCTCATTCCTCCTCCTCCGCCTTCCCTGCTCCTGCCTCCTTCCCCATTCTCATTCTTGATCGTGCGCGCCCTCTTCCTCGGCCTTCCCTGCCATTGCCAATTCCTCCCCGCCCCCGCCCCGCCGCCGCCCATTTGGCCCGAACTCGGTTGCGCGATATCTTACATCCGACTTCCGGCGAATTCAAACGAACAAGCCCGATTTCCTTATGTAAATCCCAAATGGCCCGAAGTTGGCCCTCCAAACCACGTGTGTTTTGACAGCCGGGATCCGGAGATTTGTCGTTTGGGCCCGGAGATCCGGCGAATTCAAACGAACTGGCCCGGACTCGGTTGCACGATTTCTTACATCCGACTTCCGGCGAAATCAAACGACTTCGCCCGAACTCTCTGGGAGTCAGATCTGGCGTCCTGCCGCGCTCGGCGGCCAGCGCCCCATGTCGCTGCGCGCTTTCATGGTTCCCAAGGAGGAGCCGCCCGACAGCCCGCAGGCGAAGCAGGAGAGGGGGCAACTGCCCATGGAAGACTTCTCGGAGCCTTTGAGCTGCTGGAGGCCCAGCGCAGTATATCATGCAAGAGTGCCCCGACGAAAGCACGGCCACCGCCATGGCTCAGCACCTGGACGCCTTCTTCGAAGAGGATCCAACTCTTAGCTACGGGACAAAGGAGTTGTTCTACAGCGCCGCAGGGGAGACGGAGCTCATCGTCAGGATCACAGACTTGGGCTTCTCAGACGATGTGACTACCAAAGGCATGCCGCGGCTTCATACATCCTTGTCATTGGTAGACAGCATCCTCAGCGGCGGATTTGTGACGATCAGCGACCCCATACTAGCGTGGCCAAATCCGAAGACTAAAGACAAGGCTCACTGGTGGCTATCGTACGTCAGGGGCCACGCCCGAGCATGCGCCGCCATCGTCAGGTGCATCACTATTTACAAGAAGTTTGGTAACGTCGAGAAGCGTTTGGACGCTGGAGGCCAAAGTTTGTTGGTATATTTGAGAGCAGTCCGTGTTCGTTGCCATGATGTTGCTCCAGACATGATGTCGGTTGCCTTCGAGAGCGCACTTTTAGCCCACCGCGGAAGCATTCGCAAAGCTCATGATGTGCTCAGTTGGATCCAGAAGCTCGAGAAGGTGTCTGTGGCCACAGGCTGGTCAGAAGACGAAGTATTGACCAAGTGGAACCAGGGGTGCCCTTCGGACGCCCAGGTGACTGGAGCCAAGAAGGTGTGCTGTCTCAACATCCTCAGGTCTGTCGACAAGGAAGGCCGTACTCTCCTCCTGGACCACGCGTCGAAATACGGTGAGAACAGCGCATTCCAAGATGATGCGTTCGCGTCCAAGAAGATACTTGCAGGGTACAAGCCGCGCATTGGGTCAGTGAAGTGGACCCGGCTGCTGACTGTCACGCACGAGTCGTTCAGGGCCATGATGATCGCCGTCATCAGTAGACACGAAGCAGCGCCAGAGGCAGCACGCACCAAAATCTCAAAGGCCAACCTTGAGAAGATCAGCGAGTTGTCAGCGTTGGCACATGCCATCATTATGGACGCCATCGCCCAATACCCGCAGATTCCACATTCCGACCTCTCCGATGGGTTCCTCGCGCCCTTTGCGGAGGGCGACCCCGACATCACCCTATCGCTTGAGACTGCCATCATGCAGAAGGAGGCCAACTTTAGCGTCACATATATTCCCGAGCTCAAGGAGTTGACCATATCGCTAACCGCTGGCGCACCTGGCGGTGATCCGCCAAAGGCTGCGGCGTTGAAGATGGAATCGGCTGAGCGTGAGAAACAAGAGTTTGAGCTGTTCAAGAATCGTGTCCGCCACGATGTCAGCGTGGCCAGCGCCTACATCGGCAAAGCTCGCGATCGCGAGACGGCCATGTACTACAAGACAGTGCAGCACCGTGTCTGGCGAGCCCAGGAGGCCGAGTCTGCGGCACAGTCGTTGTTTGATCCCTCTCACGTGAATTGCAAGATCACCCTTGTCACGTCGGCAGACCAAAAAGCTGTGACAAAGGCGGTTGGGCGAGTGAAAGAGCAATTAGCCAAGAACGCCCTGACGTCGAACACCTCTGTCAACACGTTTGCGCGCGTCAATTGGGCGGCGATGTCGCTATTCAATGCGAAGACCACCAAGGCACAGCACGCGTTGTTGGTTGAGTTCGTTCGCTCCGACGGCCCGGCAATCGGGATGGCGCTTCTCCCAACATTCACCTACAAGAAGGGGCTTCGTTTACAAGGCGGAAGCAGGGGCGCAATCAAGCATCGGCCAGCACGGCCTCTTCATTGACAGATCTATATGCTTGCACTTTACTGAGAAACCAGAGGAGCGTTCAGAACGGCCACTCATGATCAAGGGGCCCTTGGCATTTGCGGACGACGGCTCCAACCGCATCAAAGCGTGGAAAGGGCATTCCAGCATTCCAGGATCCAGTCATTGCATGCGGCGCGGAGCTCTGCACCAAGGATATGGTCACTGTGGAAGATGCCGCGATGGAGGCGTTGCCTGCGACAATCGAGACGGACACGCACGCCAGCCAAGGAGAGAAACCTCACCAGCTTGGCGTGCCAGCTGACCTCCGCGTGCTCAACGCAACGCTTTCAGGTCTCCCAGGTGATCAACGGGGGGCGACGATGGTGATCGACTTGTCCTTGCACACCGCTGACATGCTGAAGGCGTTCATCGCGTTCAGCGAGACTTTCGGGCAGCAAGTGGCATGCGTCGGCATGTGCGCAGACGAGATCTCCGTCGACTTCTGCAAGGCTGAGGGTACTCATTCCACCAAACAACGCATGTTAGCAGGCGACATGAAGGTGCCCCACTTCAATGTTCCGCCAGCTGAGGTGCCGTCTGATAGCCAGTCGCCAGAGATTGCCCAGCCGCAGCTCGTTGCCATGCGCTGGGCCCGCGACCGCCCGACGATTGCCGAAGTCGACCTGCTGAAATGGAGCGGACACGAGGTCACTGCGGCGCAGTTTTCAGACATGGTGGCGACGCTTGAGTTTGAAACTGGGTTCGACCTCGTAAAGGACAAGGACAAGGACAAGGGGGAGACAGACAAGGGTGACAAGGCAGCTTCGCCTGGCAAGACAGGTGCCGACCCAGCGGAGCGCCCAGCAGAGGTCGCTCGGACGACAGAGCCTGATACGTTCATCGACGAATCGACCATCGCTACTCAGATCATCCACGACGTCCCGCTCACTTCCATCAATGGCAAGACGGGGGAGCTCTATCTACGCGTGTGCGTGCACAACGAGATGTGCATCGTCAACAAGGGCGCAGAGGCAGCAAAGGTGTCGCAAGGCGCCATGCTGGCTGGTTTCTCAAAAGGGAAGTGGACGAATGACATGCTTGAGGACAAGCCCGAGAAGCACATCAAGTTCGAGCTGGCCGATTGCGACAGTCTCGTCGTCTTCAACGCTCGGATGTGTCGCGTCGAGGCGCTTGTGAGTGAGAAGCGTTTGACAGAAAGTGCAGATGAGACGAGAGTGTGCTACCACAGCCTCGTGGAGAGCCCGACGGACGACGACCGCGCAGCCTTCAAGCTCAACGTCTCGCAGACAGTATACTATCGCTTGGCCGACGAGGCCGTCAAGGAGGAGGACAACGCTAAAGCTCCTTCTCAGAACAACGTGGGCGGGACCATGCCGGCAACAGCGCGGGGCACCAAGAACGCAGGCATATGTTGGGTCATGCAGTGGCGCAAGAGGAAGGGCTTGCAACCCGCTCGCCCGCAGGTGTGCTGGAAGGCAAGCGACATCGACATCTTGCCTGGCAAGGCGTTGAAGCTCATCCAGTGAGCTGGGCAAGCGGGCAGGGCGCCCCAGATTTTGATGGAGCGCGAGTGGCTACTCGCGCTAGCTCTCGATATTTTGAACAGGTGGGCTGAGCTAGCTCACCGCACGGCGTCTTTGATATTTTGGACAGGTGGGCACAGCTCGCCTGTTAGCGCGAATGCAATCATACCTCCTCCTCCCCCTTCCCCCCCGCCATCCTTATCATAGTGTTTCGCCTCCCTTGAAATCCACGAGGAGATCCAATATGCGGGGCCAAGTTCTAATTTCTCAAAGTGTTTCAACTCTCATTTCTGTGCCACCACGTTGCCCTCCTCTGAGCCTTCAGCATCATCACCATATTGATAGCTGTATTCATATCATCTAGGTGGGTTATCAGCTCGCCCCATCGTCTGGATTAGCATCATCATGATTGCCGAGTTGGGCGCTCACCCAGGTCTCCTCCGCGGGTTGGCGTCGCCGGCAAGTCTCTGCCAAGATATCCTCCCGGTCCTCGTGAGCCTTCCTTGGGCTTCCTTCCCTTGAAACCGAAATCTGGTTTAGTTCAATTTTTTACGCTTCGCGTATCCTCACCAGCCCATGTCACAACAGCAACTCTTGCGAAGCATGCCGACAGTCGTGTTTTTCAGGCGTGTTTCCGCCTGCCCCCGCATATCTCCCCTGTTTTTCTTTCCTCCCGCCTCTTTGTACATCCTCCTTGTGGTGGGAGCGGGAGAAGGACGAGGCGGAGGAGGAGGGAGAGAACACGCTCCTCGTGGTTTGAGTCGTTCGGGCTTCTCGTCCTGGTGTGTGTCGTTCGGGCCCTTTTTCCTGGTGTGAGTCGTTCGGGCTCTTCGTGGTGTGAGTCGTTCGGGCTCTTCGTCCTGGTGTGAGTCGTTCGGGCTTCTCGTGGTGTGAGTTGTTCGGGCCCCTCGTCCTGGTGTGAGTCGTTCGGGCCCCTCCTCCTGCCCGTCCAGAAGCGACGCCCAGGCGAGTAGAGGGTCGTCCTGATGGGTTTTTCGGCGCTTTGGGTGCCTCGGGGGGGCCTCTTTGGGCCGTTTGGGATCCTCTTGGGGGCCTCCTGGGGGCCTCTTGGGGCCATCTTGGGGCCTCTTGGTGCCTCCTGGGCGCTTCTTGGGGCCATTTTGGAGGACATCGATCAAAGAAGAGGGGAGCTTTAATTCGCGCTGCCCCCTCAGAAGGCCAAACATGGGGCCAAAACCTTGGTACAATCAATGATTTGGGCTTGAAAGAAGAGGGGAGTTTTAATTAGCGCTGCCCCCTCAGAAGGCCAAAATGGGGCCAACACCGTAGTAAAATCAATGATTTTGGCTTCAAAGAAGGGGGGAGCATTTTTCTGCCCCCCCCCGTTGGGGCCAGAATCCTCGTGAGGGGTGTCGTTTTTGAGCCCCCCCAGGAGTCGAAAAAGACCCCTCCAGCCACCCGCGGAGGGACCTCTCCAGGCCCAGGGGGAGGGGGTAGGGGGAGGGGTAAACCCCTCCCCGAAAGGGAAGAAGGGGGGTTGAGAACAGAGAGAGCTCGCTAAACCACTCACGCCCGAAGGGCTGGTGGGATTCTTGCTTGCAGGTGGGTCCTCATTGACAGCTCGTGGGCCCAATGGACTCCAGGATGAGGCCCAAGATGGGCCAGGAGATCCCTTTTGAGGCCTTTTTGGGGCCCTCTTGGGACCTGGGCGCATGGCCCCGCGAAGGCAAGGGGCCCATTAGGCCACGGGGCTCGCCAATTGACACCATCAGTGTGAAGTCAGCGCACCTTGATCGCAAATTGATGGGCATTTTCTCAGGGCTCCAAGGGGCGGCGGGCGATCCAGCGCCCGAGCGGCGGCTGCGGAACGCATGGTGGAAGTGGGTTAATGCGATGAGTTCTGGCTCCATGGCATCAAGGAACCCTCTGGACTCTACCTTATCACTGGCCAGCAGCACCACGGCAAGCCGATGTGGCAGCGTAAGGATGGCGGGTACCAGATCATTTTTGGGATGATCGCGACGGCCCTTTCACCGGCTGGTGGGTTCTGAAGTCCGACGATTACGACTGGGCGTTCGCGCGCCACGAGAGAATCGCAGCTGCCGCGCCGCCAACCGACGGCTGGTTCGCGCCATTTCAAGACACCACCAGCATCAACGGCAACGTGTACCTTGTCCCGGCGTCGCAGAAGGTGAAGCAGCAGGCGAAGCCAGAAGGTGAAGCAGCAGGCGAGGCGGAACTTGGCAAGGTTGCCAAGGCTTGGAAGAACGTCGCAGAGTTACGTCAGGCTTCTCTGGCGAAGCGCGAGCTGGACGGACACGAAGGCGAAGTGGCAGCAGCAGATGGCAGGGCTGCCGAGGCGTCAGGCTCAGGCTCAGGCGACATGGCCTGGCCAGTGCAGGAGGTGATGCACGCCAACGAGCGCATGGGCGCGCTCGATGGGCGCATCGAGGAGCTGCAGAGGGACATCGAGGATATCAAGCAGGCCTTGGGACCAGAGTTCATCAAGCGCCAGAGGCTGCAGCAACATCCGAACGATAAGAAGAAACAGCTGACGCCGCCGCCGCTCTACATGGTGCGCTATACGATGCGCTCGGACGGCCGCACCAGGACAAGCAGGTCCCTGGTGCACCCCTGACCGTCGCGCCACGGCGATCTGGAGGCCAGGTGGCCACCAGAAAAGTATCAGCGTGATCATCGTCAGCATCATCATCGCTAGGTGGGCATCCTGCTTGCTAGCATCGTCATCGTCAGCATATCCTCCTCCTCCTCGTCCTCCTCCTTCTCAACCTCCTCCTCCTCCTCCTCCTCCTCCTCCTCCTCCTCCTCCTCAGGCGTGAAACCACTAGGGGGCACAGGCGTGAAACCACTAGGGGGGGCAGGCGTGAAACCAGTAGGGGGACGGGCGTGGAACCACTAGAACCTGGAGGAGGACGAACTCCCGCAGACGCCGCAGTGCGCATGGGGCCCACGCCTGGCCGCGGGACGCGAAATCTGGCGGGGCAAACTCTTTAGGAAACCTCGGGAAGCAAATTCTGGCGGGGCAGATTCTGTAGGAAGGTCAGCCCAGTAGAGACCCCACGGGATCACGGCGAGGAAGCGGCGGGAAGCAAATCTGGCGGGGCTAACTTCTCTAGGAAACCTCGGGAAGCGAAATCTGGCGGGGCAACTTCTGTAGGTAGGTCAGCCAAGTAGAACACCTCTCGAGGACCCTCCCGCCCTCTGCTGGCCCCCTCTTGGGCCCCTCTTGGAGCCTTAAAAAGGCCGCCAGAGAGCTCCAAGACGGCTCAAAACAGGCTCCAAGAGGGGCGCGCGAGGTCTCATCGAACCGCCGTGTTCGATGAGACCTGGCGCGCTCCTCTTGGAGCCCTCTTGGGGCCTTCGTGGCCCCCTCCCAAGACCTCTCGAGGGCCCTCCCACCCGATGCTGGCCCCCTCTTGGGCCCCTCTTGGAGCTCCCAAAAGGCCGCCAGAGAACTCCAAGACGGCTCCAAACAGGCTCCAAGAGGGGCGCGCGAGGTCTCATCGAACCGCCGTGTTCGATGAGACCTGGCGCGCTCCTCTTGGAGCCCTCTTGGGGCCCTCGTGGCCCCCTCCCAAGACCTCTCGAGGGCCCTCCCACCCGATGCTGGCCCCCCTTTGGACCCCTCTTGGAGCTCCAAAAAAGCCACAGGGGGGAAGAGGAGGAGGAGGAGGAGGAAAAGGAGGACGGGGGGGGAGGAGGGGAGGAGGGGGAGGAGGAGGAGGAGGACGGGGCGGGAGGGGGGGCGCGCTTGTTGCCTGCTCCTAGTAGCAAGCTATGCTGTGCTATGGTATGCGTCGTTTGCCGTTACTACTAATGCTGCTTTCCTGAGGGCTCCAACTCCTAGGTAGGGTCGCGCTGGGATAACTTTAGGGTTGGTGCTGATACGCAAAGCGTCAATAATGAAAATCTACCATCGCACCCGTGTTGATGATAGCTTGAATGGGGCGAGCTGACAGCCCACCAAAGTGACCCACCTAGATAACAGCGAACTGAACGCCCACCAGTGTAGCAATGCTGCGCCTAGATCAACGCGCTGGTGTAAAAACCGAATGGGTCGAAACAGAAACTGATTGCCGTGAAACTTCGTTGGAGCCGGCCCGGGCGCCGGCTCGGGCGCCGGCTCGGGCGCCGGCTCGGGCGTCCAGCCCGGGCGCCGGCTCGGGCGCCGGCCCGGGCGTCGGAATCGGCCCGGGGGGCCTCCTGCAGCGCCGGAAGCAGAAATGCAGCATTCTTCCAAGAAAAATGTGTAATTATTAGAATGGCCTTTTTCGGCGCCGCCTCGGAACTCGATTTTCCGGCGGCGGCCAGAACCGCCTGGAGCGCCACAGTACTAAATTATTAGGATTCCTAAAACCATTTCAAAAAAATAAAGGAATCCTATATTTTTTAGTAATACAATTTTAGGAATCATGTTGCACCCACATTTGAGGATTCGGCGCGTCCCGACCGCCCTGTGGCCGCCCCGTGGCCGTTGTCGCAGCTCGCTGCCGTCGGCAGTCGGCCGTCGTCGGCGCGAACGTCGTGAGGAGGAGGAGGAGGAGGAGGAGGAGGAGGAGGAGGAGGAGGAGGAGGAGGGAGGAGGGAGGAGGGAGGAGGGAGAGGAGGAGGAGGAGGAGGAGGAGGAGGAGGAGGAGGAGGAGGAGGAGGAGGAGGAGGAGCCGCATTTTCGCATTTCGCATTTTTCGCAGAAAACGCCGCTCCCAGCGATAGTTTTGAAAAAAAAACTGAATTGACGCAAGCAATGTTTTTTTCAAAACCCTCGGTGGGAGTGGCGTTTTCTGCACTTCGCGCCGTTTCGGCTTTCAGACGGCTCAAGACGGCCTCCAAGATCGTTCCAAGATCGCCCACGAGGCCTCCAAAATGACACCGTGACGGCGCAAGAGGCACCCAAGACGGCCGCAAGAGGCCTCAAGACGGCCCAACAGGATTCCAAGACGCCCAAGATGGCCACCAAGAGGGCCCTGAAGTGTCCCAAGAGGGCCCGAAAACCACCCAGAGAGGCCCCCAAGACGGCTTCC